TCCTGGTTGTTCTCTGTCTCCCCTGTTTCACCTCCCCCGCACCGGTTTTAAAATCGCGTGTTTTCTTTTTTTCTGTTTTTTGGGTTTCTCATTTTTTTTTTTTTTTTTTTTTTTTTTTTTTTTTTTTTTTTTTTTTTTTTTAACAAAAAAAAAATCTGGTTGTTTTCCTTTAATTTGGTTCCCCCTAAATTTTTTTTTTTTTGGGGGGGGGGGGGGGGGGGAGGGAGCGCTAGTGTTTCTCCACTTTCTTGTCAGCCGTATCGTGAACAAACAGAAGATTCGACGTGCAAATTGAAGCACACTCCTGCGTTATGAAACTCCGCTTGGGTCTTTGTACTCAACCTTTGCTAAGCCCGGCTAAAGGAGGAGGGTTAGCAGGGGGCCCACAACCCCATCCCGTAAACAAGAAAAAACAACAACAACAACAACAAAACCAAGGCACAGCAACCAAAACCACAATGCAAATCAACAGTGATAACGGCGATGAAGTAAAGGAGATAGATAGATTTGGAAACGATGTCAGTGGCGGATCCAGGGGAGGGGCCCGGGGGGGCCACCCTCCCCCCCTTATCTTTAGACCAAACTGAGGCCCGAGGGCCCGAAAAAAAATTTTTTAAGGCCGGGCCTTCCTCTTATCTCAGGGACTGGATGACCAGGCTCCCTCTGTATCTGAAGGTTTGGACCCGCCATTGGACGTTATAGGGATTTGCGAAGCACCGCGAAAAGGGAATGAAAAACAAGCCATAGGAAGACCGTGGGAAACTTGGAAAAGGACAATATCCAAAAAGTTAAAGGAAAGCAACTTTTTACGGGCATTGATGGCGTGGTCTGATCAGGGCCTTATCTGTCGTTAAGTTCAATGAGAATTAACTAACTTAACACTATGCCAAGAGGGAAATTTATTATTCTTATTCTTATTATTATTATTGCTATTTTTACATTAACAAACGCAAGATGATATCTCCCTGCCATATCCCCAGCGGTTGTCCCAGAACCCGGCGCATAAGTAGCCCCCAGGCCCTTGTGCACGGAACGACGGCCCGGTAATGACGTAATCAGGAACCATATTTGAAAAAGGTGATCTTGCCATTGGAGGAATCGTAGGCGAGGCGAGATGCACGGCATCCCGGATTCCCTCGATGGAATTCCCGGATATGATAAGCGCCAAACGGGAGCCCGCGTGGGGCGCCAGGAAAACCGCGCCGGTCTGGGGTGAAGAGAAGTTGCAGTGACCTATGACATCGAAAACACCGATGATCAATTGCTGTTTGCAGAGATAAATATCTTTGATACCATGGATGAAAAGGAAAGTACATGACAATTTAAATGAAAGCTACTGAGCAGTGCTTTCCTGTTTTACTGTTTATTATGCTGAACAAGGTGGTTCTAACTCTTGAGTCTGTGGATGAAATCCTAAATTGTGACCATTCAAATGAAAGCTACTAAGCAGTACTTTTCTGTGGTACTGTTTATTATGCTGTACAAGGTGGTTCTACGAGACACAGAGGTATAATTATCTTACCCCAACTTTTGAGTCTGTGGATGAAATCCTAGAGTGTGTCCATTCAAATGAAAGCTACTGAGCAGTACCTTACTGTTTATTTTTTTTTTTTTGTACAAGGTGGTTCTAACTTTTGAAGTACTTTTCTTATTGTCAGAGTTGGTTCTTCTTTGAGCCAGTGAATGAAATTCTTAAGTGCGTCCATTAAAATGATAGCTACTGAGCAATGCTTTAACCTTCAAAGATTACTATTCTGAAAATCTAGTACATAACAGTGCTTTCTTGTGCTACCACTGTAAGTGGTACAAAATTGGAACTTCCTGGAATCAAGTTTGACCATATGAATTAACAGAACGAAAGCTACTGACTGAAATTTACCTATGGCACTATTTCTCCAAATGAAATTTGACATTGCCTGTTGAGAATAAGTATTTGCCTGCAAACGCAGACGTGTTTGCGGTGGAGAAAAGCGACGACCAGAACTACGTCTGCGTTCGTAGGCTAAACAAGTACAAGCATGGCGGTGGACTGTAACAACAAAATAAAACGTTCCATTTTGTGGCACGCGGTTTGGAAACGAAACACTGCATTCTGGCGAAATCTTCATTTTCCCAACGGCTTTTTTGTTTTTAGCTAACACCCTTCAGTGTCAGATCCAGACCTTGAGATAAAGGGGGGGGGGGGGGCATCCAGGCTCTTAGCTAAGGGGGAGGGGGAGGTCTCCAAAAAAAAGAAGGAAAACATACCCAATGTCATTGTCTTGTCCTGATACTTCAGTGGAACCTTTCCATGGTAACGTTCAACCCAAGTGTTTTCCAGAGGGCTGCCCAAAAGAATCAAGTTATAGCGATCAGCGGTCTCCACATCTAATTCTGTGTCACGGACAACTGGAGCCCAAGCATCGGAAGTTAAAAGGAAGAGATTGGCGATATACACTGCAAACTGCCTCAAGGCAACTTTTATGCGATGATTTTGTGATGAGGTACCTGAAAAAACGATTGGATGTTCTGGTTAAATGCAAAAGACAAATACGTTATCCAAAAGAGTTAGTTAGCCTGCGAAGGCAGAAGTTTTTTCCTCGAGTCCTCGCTCCTTGCCCCTAAGGAACACAAAACTTTACGTATACCATAACCGACCAGGAGAAACATAAAATCCACCAAATTTACATTTGGAACCCCATGACTACCGAATCAGTTATGTAAACATTGATTTACGCCATCAGAATGGAAGCTCTGTCGCTGAGACGCAGACGTCTTTGCTGCGAAATGTCCCTTGCAGAGAAGAGCGAGGAAAGACGGCTGTACTCGCAGGCTAAGAATTAGTAAGCTTGATCGCAATTCATCTTTACACGCTTAGTTTAAGAACTACGTTTCACGATTGTCTTAAGCTGACATCAAAGAGTTCTTGTGAGAGTCCGGTTACTTGCACCCTTTCTAAGCATCGCAGACCGTGATCCTTTCGGCCAGCAACACCTGCAAATCATATGATTCCTATAGTGTACCGAAATATGGATTCTTATAGTGTACCGCGTCTTTCTTATAGTGCACTGAGTTACCTGTCTTACTTGTGTGTCTTGGGTTGCTTGAGTGTCTTGGCCTACTTCACCTATTTGGCTTGCTTGAGGTACTTGGCTTACTTGTGTGTCTTGGACTGCTTCAATGTCTTGGCTTACTTGGCCTAAAAAGTAAGCCAAGACACTCAAGCAACCCAAGTAATTGAAGTAGGCCAAGACACTAAAGCAACCCAAGACACAAAAGTGAGCCAAGTACCCTAGCGTACGCCAAGTAACTGAAGTAGGCCAAGACACAAAAGTAAGCCGAGACACTCAAGCAACCCAAGACACAAAAGTAAGCTAAGTACCTCAAGCACGCCAAGTAACTGAAGTAAGCCAAGACAGTCAAGCAGTCTAAGACACACGGGCAAGACAAGTACCTCGGTACACTGTAAGAAAGACGCAGTACACTATAAGAATCTATATCTCGGTTCTAAGGAGGATACGTGACAAAACATCGGGTGCAAGTGCAAGAAGCGTTGTTCTCGGGTTTTATGTGCGGATTTCAGCGATCGTTATTGAGGAGTCAAAAATAGCAAACAATAGACATCAAAACCTCTTGAAGTTAGTCTCCGACGTCAGCAAAGACAATTCTTGCTTACAGAAAAAAAAGTTACCTGACTCTGTTAGTTAAATTTTTTCATATAAATTATAACGAAACGTTGGCGGAAATAATTCCCGCTTAAGAGAGAGAAGTGACGACCGGAAATGCAAGGAGGAAGTAGACTTGTAGGGATTCGCCATTTGCACATCTCCCATAGTACACCTTGTTTAAAACAAAGATTAAAACAAATAAGATTATACAAACTTTTGGGGTGCCAATTTGTATTATGGGAGATGTAAAAATGGCGAATGAAATTTAAAACAGCGCGAATGAGTCACTTCCGTGACGTTCCCACTGTCGACGTCGTGGTGGTTGAGTTTCAGACCGTATGACGTACCAACCACAACTCATTCACGTATCTGTATCACATGCGCTACAATCAGCTTTCGTTTCGTCATTTCGGTTTCCCATGCCGATCGAACGGGCAGCTGTATGGCAGCTGTATCAGGTAACTGCAAAAGGTCAACAAGAGGTCGAGTTCAGTTCACCGAAAGTGAAAGTTATGTCTGAATAAACTTCCTGTCTGTTATTTCCTTTCAAGAAAGTACCTTTCACATTTATTTACACTGTACAGTCATTTTCGTCAAAAACGAAAGAGTATTAAGCCCTTACTCTGACACAACATGAATAACTCATTAATAACTTTTAACTACAAAAGAAATGACAGAATGCGAAAATAGACAGTAACGCCTGATCGCTGTTTACCACTGAATAAATTTTATCATGAATACCGTTTCAATCGTGTAAGGATATACAGTCAAAGCCCGTTGATACGGACGGCACTGGGGGGGCCATAGAGACTGTCTGTTTTAACGGGGTGTCCGTATTAAGGGGTTGAATTGAGAGAAAATGTATGGCTTGTTTTGACAGGGACAAGGCAAAGTGTCCGTAATAACGAGGTGTCGGTACTGAAAAGCGGAGTTTGACTGCTTTGATAATAGGCTACCTTTCCTTCTCCTATAAGTCTTCCCATGCTACGGATAAGCGGTACAGATGTTTAATAAATAGCTTCAGGAAATAAAATGGTATTATAAAACTGCATATAGTGGGTAAAAAATCAATGTATTTCTTGAAGACGAGTGAAATTACTTGACTGGAAGTCAAGGCTTAGAAACTAGTTGTAGCTTTCGCTAAGTGCCTACAAAAAAAAGAATTTTGCCTAAATCACCGGTTTTAGTTCCAATCTTTATAAAACCGTTTCAGCTGCTGAGGCTGTCAGCTGCTGAGCCGAGAATTTCCACTACAAGCACTCCCTGTTCCTACATTTCTGCCATGCTCTTGGCCTTAAAATCGCTCTTATTCTTCTGCTTAGACATTTTTGAACCTTAAACTTGTCGAGTTTCAAACAGCGAAAGGGAAATAAAATTTATAGGTTTATAGCGCGAACTTTAAATAGTGGGTTGTAGTTCGTTCAAGTACACTAGTGCGAACTTTGAAGGTTTGTTTCGGCAACAAAGGTTATCAAAAGTCACGTGAAACTAAACGTGAAATCTAACGCTTCTAAAATCCCCAGGGAATCCACACCTTACATTACACTTACATTACACTTTTCAAAGCACGATCGAGAATTTTTCTGCCTGCTGCAATACTTCGCGTGGCATTAAGCGGCCGCCTCCCAAGCCGACCGTCTTCGCTTAGCTTGCTCGTTGGCAGTTAGGTGAAGTTATATAGTCAGCTTTACGATTTAAAGTTTCATAACATGAGAAAGCAAAATGATGATGATGATGATGATGATGATGATGGTGATGACGATGACGACGAAGACCATGCAACGATGATAACTTTCGCACAGGCCACGTTCAGACCTATTCGGGAATGCACTCAACCGGATGATCGTATACAAAACATTTATTTAACTTAGTTATGAAATTAATCCTGGGTTCACTCCATACACCGAATGCAAATATGGCGGATCTCTCGGTCGGCCCGGGTCTAGTTGCGCGAAAGCGAGGCCAGTGAGGCCTCGAGAGTTTTGTTTTGACTGCACGTCTTAGCGATTCAGTCGATCAATATGGTTTCCTTCGAGCTGTTACGTGCTTAAGAGCCATCAAAGAGGAGATTTAACTCCAGCAGAGACGAAATTTGATTATCTTCGCTTTGCCAAGGTTCCTTACGATCAAGCCATTCGGCGCGGCGAATAGAGGCACTTTACTATCACGGAGTTAAAAGAACGAAAGTGTGCTCCCTTCACTTCAGAAGAGAAGATTCACGAAACTATTAGAACGGGTGAAAAAGTGAAAGATTCATGGTTCTCAGTGTTTCAAGTTTGCTTTGTCCGTTCCCTTACCAAGGAAAGGTAAATATCCTCGAGAACGAGTGAATCCGCCGTCGCGACTTACCAATCTCTAGGCGCTCTCAGGGACACAACGACAGACAACAAGCCGAATGTTTTCACAGTCTTCCCGATCCTGTGTTCAAGAGTTTGGGCAGTGCAATAAAAGAAGCAATTTTTGGAAAATCGCTGTTAGTTTATCTCGAAACCATTCGACAAGTTGCTAAAATAGATCACGCGCAAGGTCAAATACAATGCTCGAATACCTTTTTCCTTCTTCTTACTTTCTTAGTTGGCAACGGTTCCTCTGTTAGTTTTTTCAGTACACTTTGGTGAAGGACTGTTCTTGAAATATGTCGCTTTCTTCTGGTTCTTACATAGTTTCACAGGCCACGCTTGTAGGATTAACAGGCGATTGCAATCGCCTGTTATTGTTATTGTTGTTGTTATATTTTAATGCATCTGTTTTCAGCGTGAAATCTAAAAGAGTTTACAGTCCACAGCGGATACACCCGTTCTCGACAATGTTTACCTTTTGTTGGATAAATAACAGACCATGCAAACATCTTTGAACAGCACCATCTCTTGTGAAAATTATTTCATTCAAATATTTTCGTGAGTCCTCTCATCTAAAGCAAGTGAAGCGAGCACACTTTCGCTGTAAAGTGCTTCCCATCGCCGCGCCGAATCGCATGAATCCTTAACTTTCTTTGTGAAAAGATCTCGGGGAAGTAAAGGCTATTCCAGCTAGAGTAAAATCTTCTTTTTGGTGGCCCTCAGGCATGCAACAACTCCAAGCAAACCATATTGATCGACTCAATCGCTAAGACGCGTAGTCAAAACAAAACTCTGGAGGCCTCACTAGCCTCGCTTTCGCGCAACTAGACCCGGGCCGTCCGAGAGGTCCGCCATATTTGCATTCGGTGTATTAAAAAAAGTTCTTTGTTGTCTGATTTCTAGGAAATTTGCTCATCAAAACAAACGAAACGAACCAGTGGACGTCTAGGAAACTAATTCGGGAAAAACCCCTCCAAAACAAAGCAAGCACTGTTGCATTTAGTGGAACTACGACATCGTTTTAGTAAGAGAGGCAAGACCGACAATGTATCGCTATCGTCAACTGTCCGACGAGGAAAGAAATTTTTCCATCAATTTTCAATCTACAGAATCTGCGATTATTATAAGGCCACCCCACGTAGTCATAAATATGCCGCACGATGATCCCGACGCCACTACGCTGCTACATCGTTACACTCGCTTATATTTCTTCTTCGCTGGGCAGTGGTTTTGGCCTGCAGAAAATTACATCAAAAGGAACCGCAANAAGTGCTTCCCATCGCCGCGCCGAATCGCATGAATCCTTAACTTTCTTTGTGAAAAGATCTCGGGGAAGTAAAGGCTATTCCAGCTAGAGTAAAATCTTCTTTTTGGTGGCCCTCAGGCATGCAACAACTCCAAGCAAACCATATTGATCGACTCAATCGCTAAGACGCGTAGTCAAAACAAAACTCTGGAGGCCTCACTAGCCTCGCTTTCGCGCAACTAGACCCGGGCCGTCCGAGAGGTCCGCC